AGCAAATAGAGCATTACAGTAATCCAGCCTAAAAGTCATAAAACCATGGACTAGCTTTTCTGCATCCAAGATGGATAGCATACTTCGTAATTTAGCGATATTTCTCAGATGAAAGAAGGCAGTTTTTGCGACGTGGGATTTATGATTTTCAAATTTAAATTGCTGTCTAATATGACACCCAGATCTTTTATAGTAGAGCTAACGCTAACTTTGTATCCCTCTAATTGAAGATTGAGTTGCGAGATCTGCTGTGTACAGGATTTAGGTCCAATAAGTAATAATTCTGTTTTGTCTGAGTTTAATAGAAGAAAATTTTTGGTCATCCAGTCTTTAACATCTCTAATACACTCAGTTAGCTTAGACAGTTCAGACATCTCATCAGGTTTAGTTGAAATATATTATTGAGTATCATCTGCATAGCAGTGAAAGCTTATCCCATGTCTTCTAATAATGTCTCACAGAGGTAGCATGTAAATTGTAAACAGCAAAGGGCCTAAAACTGATCCTTGAGGCACCTCATACTTTACTGGGCTGACTTGTGAAGGCTGTCCATTAATATTCACAAACTGGTAACGGTCAGTTAAATATGACTTAAACCATTGTAGAGCTTGTCCCTGGACACCTGTAGACTTTAAGCGATTTATGAGGATATTGTGGTCAATGGTGTCAAATGCCGCACTAAGATCGAGTAGAACTAATAGCGAGATGCACTCTTGGTCAGCAGCTAAGAGTAAATCATTGGTTATTTTCACTAATGCGGTTTCTGTACAGTGATGAGCCCTGAAACCTGACTGAAACACTTCAAAAATATTGTTCGTCTGCAGAAAGGAGCATAATTGAGTAGAAACAACTTTTTCTAGTATTTTAGACAGAAATGGAAGATTTGAAATAGGCCTATAGTTAGCTAAGTTGTTGGGGTCCAGTTGCGGTTTCTTAATAAGAGGCTTAATAACAGCTAGCTTGTAAGAGTTTGGAACATGGCCCATAGATAAAGAAGAGTTGTTAATGTTAAGAAGAGGTTCTCCTATAGCAGGTAGCAATTATTTCAGTAATTTTGTTGGAATTGAGTCCAGCATACACGTAGCTGCTTTAGAGCTATTTATGATTTTATCTAGCTCTTCCTGTTTTATGATTTTGAAGCAGTGTAGGTTATTATGATTCAGTGAAATATTTACAGGGTTTGGAATATAAGCCGGTGCAGAAAGTTTAACATCTCCTATTTTCTGTCTAAAGCCTTCTATTTTAAAACTTTCTCCTAGACTAAATGTTCCTGTAATATAAATAATCAGTGGAGAAATGCATTTAGTTTTGCATTAAATTGGTTCATTTCGACCTGAAACGAGGAGTTTATTGCTGTTTCTGAATCATGTAGCGCTGTGTCTGTTAGATCAGATGATCGCATTCACAACACTGGAACTGAGTGGATTACTACCTGCTCTTCACACACAAAGTAGGCCTACCTGAAATTTAAAACTAGAAAAGGCTCAATAATACATTGGACAGATTCTTAACGCACTGATTTCTTCCCTTTTTACTGCTGTTTTGGATTGGAAGTGTCTGCAGATAGCGGAGGACTGCGCGCTGTCTCAGTGGTGCATCAAGCACTTCATTCACACACCGGCTGATGTGACGTGTGCCGCTCTGTAGAATTATCCGACTGAGTTTATTCTTCCTAGGGGAATACTTTTAGGATAGTTTGTAAGCCTGGCTCATTGTGGTCAAAGTTGTTGATTAAATTAATAAAAGTGAAACTGAAAGGCACAATATTGATTGTCATTAACAGAAAATTATTTAGCCTCATATAGGTTACTCTGAAACTGAATATTTGACTGTAATTTTATTTATATCAATAGTTTATTTAACAGACCAGTTTGTGTTTTGATTAGGGTCAATAGTGGTTGGCTGTTGCAGAGTTCAAAGAAAAATCTTACTTTTAAAAAGAAACATAAGCTGGACCACAACAGATCAGTGTCATTACGAATGCTCAAATAATGTAGCCTGGTTTACAGCAAGCATCATGTTTTCAGTTAGATTGTGTCGTCTCTCATATACAGTAGGCCTATACGTCTTTTATTTTTACTAAGCAAGATATATTGTTTGAGTTTATCACCATAGAAACTATATTATGCTTAAAAGAAAAACCGGCACAGTATCGGGATCGGATCTGTATTGGTCGACACTCAGAATTTTGGGATCGAAATCGGTTATAAAAAAATGGTATCGGTGCATCCCTATTTTCAATGAGTCATAGTTTTATATGGTAAGAGCAAGGACTCATTTTATTTTATTAATTTACATTTTTAGTAAAAAGGTCTTTATCAAATGAGTAATTTCTTTTTTAACTTTGTTCATTTAAGAATTGAGCTTAAAGAATCAAAAATGTATCACGGTTAGTACATTAAAAGTGTGAGGTCAATATGATTTTAATGTTTTTTATGGCTCTACATTAACTTTTTTGATCACCAGCCTATATGGCTAGTAGTTTTTCAACTTTACTAGCCACTCGCCATTTTCACTTTTGTTTTTGGGAAAAAATATTTGCAAAATTACTTGATTTAGATGTGTTGTGTATGACTTTGCTCAATGAGCATGAGCGGTAGTGGTTTCATGGTGTTGCATTGTAATTGGTTATTATTTTAGGGCTCAACATTAAGGTTGTACCAATTTTTTCTCTAAAAAGTTTATAATTAGAAAAATTCAAAAACCAGCAAAATATATGTTATAATATGCACACACTTTTTATTAAATAAAACTTAAATAACAATTATTGTCATGTAGCCTGTCTAAAACTATGCAAAGTAGTCTGTCCTAGCTTAAGGTCTCAGATCAGCAGTTAACTTTGCATAAAAGTTAATCTATTAAATCAACATTACTGAAAAGAATGATAATTAAATCATATTAACAAAAAGAAAGCAGGTGAAAAACATACCGTGTGCAATAATGAAAGGATGATCACAAGCACACAGTTAACATTAGGCCCATTAATAATCTGTTTAAAGATTGTTTAAAGCTAAAGCTGCAACTGCTGCTGCATACATAAAATACCTTCTTTTTAAAAAATCTCGAGCTCTTGAAAATGGTGGATGTGTATCACTTTTTGTCAAGTCTATTTCCAACAGAACCGATAGCAGCATTGTGTTTCCAGTCAAGGTTGCTTCACGCAAGGAAATGAGAGTGTGCATGCTTTGTAAAACTTGCGCGCATCACTTAACATTCTGTATTCATCTGCTTTCTTTTGCTTGCGTGAACACAGTTGTTTTTGTCAGTCGGGCTGCTTCTCATTTCTAGAGGTTCATCCTTATTGTCGAACCCTGCTTTTAAAAAAAATACAATTTAAAAATGATTTTCGACTAGCCAAAGTGGATAGTGGGAGTGGCTGTCTAATCCGCCACAGCTAAAGTCTACCTGCGGTTGGTGGGTGTTAATTTCAAGCCCTGGTGTTAACCCATTAATCTGATTATACTGTATTTAGGCTACATACACACTGTAATATTTCAGGAGGAACCGCTGCATACAAATATGGAAATAAACTCGAAATTGTGATAACCTTAGTGACATTTGGTTTTGTATCCTCAGATTTTTAAACACAGTAATATTACAGCAACTAAAGAATAATTATTGTCAACATTTTTAGTTAAATCAACAGCAGGGCTCGAAATTGCGACCATTCCGGTCACTTATGCGCCCGAAATTTTATCTATGCGACCTCAAAATATATTTGGAAGCATTTTTGCGAGTGCATAAAATTGATGTGTGCGACCAGTTTTTACTGCAAAGTGTTCACCACATGCGCGGATTTGGAGGACATTCACGCAGAATGCATCTCTGCTCTTGAAATGCAAAACGTAGTTCTTAGGAATGGTTTACAACAGTTGTCATGTCAACTTGCTGCAGTAAACAAGGCCAAGTCCATAATACTTGCCCCGCCTTTGAGCTCTTCTTATTGGGCCATTGCTCTAGAGCAGAGTGTGAATGGATTGGTTAATATCAGCTGTCAATCACTCAGTCAATGCCTTCTGGTTTGGGATGACTGGGAGAGCTACTATTGCGAAAAATTATAAAGTGCTGAATATGAGAATTAAGATTACACTGACAGATGTTTTTTTAGAAACTGTCATCTAAAGTTACAAATAATGACACATCTTAGTAGTGATCATGCGCTGAATGTCGATCACACATCTACACTTTTCAAAGAGTGGATAAAAGACTTCCATTGGCTTCAAGTCCGCTATGAAAAGTCTGTGGGATGGAATTTTCAGGTAACTGTTTGCCACATCTAGCACGAGAGCTTCTGTTTAATCCTTCATATAATCGCCAGATGCCCGCCGTGCAAGTGACAGCTATATGTAAAATGTAACACCACGTACACCATGGCAAACGGGGTTGAGCCGAGAAAACTATTATCGCTACTTATGAAGACCGGTATAGCTATTAACATGATGTATGCATATAATAGGGTACAGTACATGTCAAAAGCATCAGTGCAATATCAGACACCACCCGTGAGAACAGCACAGCGGTTTGTGTATGCTTTGGTCAATCAGTTATATTATAAAATCTATTTTCTTGTAATAACGGGATTTCGTTGAGACATATTTTCCTCACGCATGCATGTATATGTATATATATATATATATATATATATATATATATATATATATATATATATATATATATATATATATATTTTTTTTTTGCTTTTTAGTTTGATTAGTGTTGATTTCAAATGCAATAACTCTGTTTGTATAAAACATGTAGTAACGTTGCTTATAATTGGTGGGTGCGACAAAATTTTGTCTGAAGCGCCTACATTTTTTAAGTTAGGAGCACCGGTGCTACTAAACAAAAAGGTTAATTTTGAGCCTTGAACAGTAACAGAGGAGGCTTTTATGTTTGGAAAGCCATTTTTGCTATTAATTTTTCAGTTTTCTTTTACCACAGTTCTAGTACATGACCATATAGTCTGACATAGTGTCATTGTGTTCTCTGTCTTGTCCTAGAATCCTCTACCACGTTGCGTCTTGGCAAGTCATCTGATGTGCGTCAAGGTGAATTTGTGGTTGCCATGGGGAGCCCCTTTTCTCTTAAAAACACCATCACATCTGGAATCGTCAGCTCTGCTCAAAGAGGCAGTAAAGAACTGGGTCTCTCCAACTCCAACATGGACTACATCCAGACGGACGCAACCATAGATGTAAGAGCACTGGAAACTGGGTGGTGTTGCATGCAAAAAAAATGTATGTCATCATTTAATGAATTGCATTCCATCACTCAATCACAATTCTGCTTTACAGTTTGGAAATTCAGGAGGGCCTCTCATAAACCTGGTGAGTCGCTGACATATACTCAAAAAACTGCTTCTGCCTTTTGGTTTAAAAGGTCCAAAAACACCAAAACACATTTTTGAGATGTTGACAGTCATATATGTGTCCCACGCTGGTAAAAACACTATTAGGATACATATATTTCACAATAAAAGTGAAAATTGGTTGTTTTTGCGTTATTTCGAACAAATTCGTTCTTCCGGTTTGAAAAGAAATTTTGAAGCTACGTCAAGGCCATGAGCTCCTTGTGTAAATTCCAGCATGGAGACTGGGTGTCTGTACCGGCGGGTACAATGTGACGTCTTTGAGCTTTCATCATTAATTCAAGAGAAAGACGAACCAATCAGCGCGCTCTATTGAGAATGAGGTGCAACTTTATTAATATGCATAATAGCTTCAAAAACTACCTGTTACAGTATTCAGAGAGACGCCACGTTGTGTTGCTAACCGTAAATAAAACAAGTGGAAGAAGAAGTATTGCTTTGGAGACATGGGTCGTCAGTGTTGTTTATAAACGTGCCACAACAAAGGTTTTGTTTTCATTTTCCCGCAGTGAGAAAGGACCCACATTTCTGGACTACAGGGGTCTTCTAACACGCAACAAAAATGTTTGTAAGGAACATTTTTACTTGAGAGCTTTTCGCATCTGGAAATGGTGAAATCCGGATTTGCCCATCGTCTTCTTTTAAAAAAAGACGCAGTTCCAGTTCACGTTGATTGTCCTGTCTCTATGGATTTGGTAAGTAAGCAATCGGTGTTCTTTGTTTGTTTATTCAGATGGCAACGGTAGTTAGTATCGTCAGCAGTACTCTTTTAATATCACTACAATATTATGGACTGAAAGATCTGCTGTAAATGCTGCTCTCTGAATGTAAACATGTAAACACCTTAATCAAACTATTACCATCTTGTAGGATTTTCGCCACATTTTGTAACGTGATGATCTCTACACACACGGCTGCTTGACACTATTCTCTGCGGAGGTTTTTTTTTTGTACCATACGGCGTGCGGTATCCAAAATTCCATTAAAACTACACTCTTCTAGCAGTTCTTTGCATCCAATATCTCGTTTGTCATGGAGGTCACGCATGAAATGTTCTTGAATGAAAATGAAAGTGCCAAACTGCAGATAAAGTCGACAAATTTAGAATGAAACGCCCCAAAATTACATGAGACTTATTATGAGACTAAATTACGGAGGAAACGTGGATAGTGTGGTGACACAATGACGTTAATCGTATTATGTGCTTTAACATGTAAAACGGGATCATGAAATAAACATTCAAAAAGCAACTCATGTAAACACCTTAATCATATTGTTGTTTTAATCAGATTAAGGCAAATAGTTAGATTACTGATGTCCACAAAATCATTGCTTTATCTGTTAAACCGACAAGTGTAACACAAACTACTCTCCTGTCTTCATTTGGAATAAAAATTCCAAGTAACTCAACACAAGCAAAGGGAAATACAAGTGCGGTAGGAGTATTTATAGCCGCAGACATGCAACCTTATTCAGTGGTAGAAAATTCTGATTTTAGGTATTTAGGGCGTACTCACACTATGCTATCCGAACCGTGTCCAGGCCCATTTCCCGGATCGTTTGAGAAGTGTGAGTGCGCTGAATCGGGCTCAGGCATGGTTTACCTGGCCAACCCTGACCCGGTTGAAAGAGGTAAGCCTGAGCGCGGTTTACTTGGGCTTTGGTGTGGTACGCTTGTAGTGTGAGTGCAAAACACGCCAAAGCCTGAAACTGAAAGCAAGACGTGACTCTTAAGGGACTGTTTCATATGGATTAATTAATCATTCTTACTGTTCAATGAACGCAAACCGCCGTAGTTTATTAAATACGCAAACCCCTCACTGTATGACAGCTGCGCACCTTCAGCAAACCTCCTCATTCCTACAGCATGAGGGCTTTATGGTTGTTTATGAGCGCCGAAAGTGGCGGATCTGTTCGCCGAAATATCTGACTGAGTGTCATCGCATCCCTAAGGACTGTTTGGCGAAATATTTGACTGCATGTCACTGCATAACAAACGACTGAAACGGTATAACTAGAGAAATCTCCACTGTGCTGAGCGAGAGCGCTTCTCTACTGAACAGCGCAGCATCGATGACTTAAGCGTGCCCAGGCCCGATTGTAATGTGAGTGCGGGCCGTCGGGGGAGATGTGAGGGGGGGGACAAGCGTGCTTTGGCCCGGTTCGAGGCAACTGTACATAGTACACGGCCTTAATTAGCCTGCTAGAACCACGCTACGAAATCACACATGCACATTTAGTAGTTGACTACAGATTGCTGGACCTTCAGAGGAACACAGAGCTTCATGACTGTCATATTAAGAACGTGAATTGTTTTCAAATGTTCATCAATATTGTATTGTACTGGCCATACTCTAGCCTTATGTAATAAACTGATGTGTCATGTTTGTACTCTTCAGGATGGTGAGGTCATCGGCATTAATACCATGAAAGTGACAGCAGGGATTTCCTTCGCTATTCCCTCAGACAGAGTCCGTCTCTTCCTTGACCGATCTGCAGACAAACAGAGTAAGAATGACCTCACAGCTGCTTGCTTTTGTCTGTGACAGCATTTTTTTCACTGACAGATGGGTATTGGGTTTTTTTTTTAGACTCTTGGTTTGGAGAATCGGGATGGAAAAGGCGTTACATTGGAGTGATGATGTTGACTTTGACCCCCAGGTGCCAAACACTTTTATTACAATTTTACAGGAGAGCAAAATTCATACATTATGGAATCTACAGATTTTTGTTATTTACCACTAGATTTGGCTCTTAGAAATTCAAGTGCTGGAATACCTGGAAAATTGGCTTGTTCTGTTGAAAAGTGCTTAATTTATCAAGGAGAATTTGTATGCAATTTTCACGCCCCAAAAATAAAAATGTTTGTGAATTTTTGTGACAATTTAATGCAAAAATACCCGCACAATCTACCGTGATTCCGAAGCAGTGATTTAAATGATATGAGAAGTGGCCAATCACAGTCAACCTTGTTTAGTTTTACCTGAAATGTAAGGGCGGGACAAAGGCCTTTCTGTGTTGCAGTGACAGAAAAAAACTACTCAAAAACAAATGTATTATGGGAATAATGCTTTTCAGATGTTTTTACTATGTTATTAGCAAGAGTAATTAAACCGTGGACATACTTTCTGCCATTTCAATGATCTACACTGTAAAAAAAAATCGTAAAAAAAAGGTCAAATGACTGGCAGCTACGACTGCCAAACAAAAACCATAAAATTACAGTAAAATTTCTTTGTTTAAATAAAGTGCAAAAAATAATAAATCTACAGATATTGTCATTAAAATTTTTACAGAAAAACACTTATTTTACAGACTTTTCCTAGATTATTACTATCAAATCCATTTAATAAAGTAACACAATAAGAGTTTTACAGAGAAACACTGTTATTTTACAGACTTTTCCTAGATTATTATGATCGAACGCTATCAATAAAGTGACTGCACTAAAAGTTCAAGAGAAAACAACGCTATTTAATTTTTTTTTTTTTGCAATTAAACGCCTTTAATAAAATGCCAAGACATGCTTTTGGTCGTAATTTAACAGTTTTATTTTGGATCAAAAAAGTTTGGAAAAAACATCAAGTGAGATACAACTGATTAAAATTCTCACAACTATAACATTACATTTTATTGAATAGTATTACTTTAAAACATATAGAGGTTTACGTTGTATGAAATGATTCAGTTCCAAATCTTAAATGAAATGGAACTGTAACGTTAAGGGGACGTTGAGAAAGAGGTGCAGATTCAAATGCAGGTTTATTACACAGAGATGGTCAGGCAAACAAGTCAACACACGGGCAAACTGCAAACAGATGTATGCAGTGAATCCAGAGTCATGGTCAAATAACAAGCAAATGATCAGTCCTAGCAGCAAACAACGTAAACAATTTACAAACAAAGCAAGGCAAAAGAAGAGAACCGCGTCATAATGTTCACAGTAGCAGTATAACAAGACTAAGCAATTGGTGCGTGCGTCTGTGCTGCTTTTAAAGTGCATGTAATCAGTTCATAACGATCCTCCGACTATGTGTTTGCAATCAGCAGAATCTGAAACAGGTGTATGTGAGCACTCTTAGTGTGTTACTTTATTAGATGGATTTGTTCGTAATAATTTAGAAATAAATGACATATTTTCCAATATTCAAAGTGATATCGGACGGTCACTGTTTGCAGATGACGGAGCTCTGTGGAAGAGAGGAAGGAATGTTAAACATGTTAAACAAAAGATACAAGAAGCTGTAAAGTTAGTGGAAGAATGGTCATATTCATGGGGTTTCAAGTTATCAGTTGAAAAGACAAAAACTGTATTATTTACTAGGAAAAAAATCTGCGACATAGAAATTAATATGTATGGACAGAAACTGGAGCAGGTAAAGTCATTTAAATTTTTGGGAATGTGGCTTGATACAAAACTAACTTGGAATGAACATATTATCCAGCTAGTTAACAAATGCAAAAAAGTATTAAATATAATGAGGTGTCTGTCTGGAACTGAATGGGGAGCGAGTAGAAATGCGTTAAGAAACATATATGTAGCATTGGTTCGATCAGTATTAGACTATGGGTGTTTCATATATGGAAGAGCTTCTAAGTCTAATCTGCAAAAAATAGAAGTTATACAAGCCCAGGCATTAAGAATATGTTGTGGAGCTTATAAAACTACTCCAATCTCAGCACTTCATGTAGAAATGGGAGAAATACCACTGGAGCTAAGAAGGAAACAAATAATGATGAATTATTGGATAAATCTACAAGGGCAGAAAATAAATAGTAATCCAGCAAAAAGAGTTCTTATTCCAAGATGGGAATATGAAAAAAACAAAACTCTCTTTTTTGGAAGAGATAGCATGGAAGTAGCTAAAGAGATGGAATTAATTGATAAAGGCTTTAACAAAACAGTACCAATAGCAACAACACCACCATGGTTATATCCATTAGGATTAGTTGATTTGGAATTACTTAGCAATAGCCAGGACTATAGAAACATCGCTAATATGTCTGGAATAATTGAAGATAAAATTATGACAAAATATAAAGAATATACAGAAGTATACACAGATGGGTCAGTAAATTTGGATTTGGGCAGAACAGGGTTTGGTGTATTTGTACCAAAATTAGACATATCAATTAAGAAAAGAACAACCAATTACCTAACAATATATACAGTAGAACTGATGGCTATAATTGCTGCGCTTTATTGGATAGAGGAAAGTGGATTAAAGAAAGTAGTTATATGTTCAGATTCCTATTCAGCATTAAGTTCAATCAAGTCAATGACATCAAAGAACAGACAGGATTGCATATATGAAATATATGAAATTTTATTTAGACTTCAGAGAGCAAATATTAGAATAGTATTTTTGTGGATTCCAGCACATATAGGAATTAAAGGAAATGAAACAGCAGATTTTTTAGCTAAGGAAGCATGCAAACTAGACGAAATTATGAATATCTTGTTAAGTAAAACAGAAGCAAAAGTTATAGTGAAGAAGAATATATTAAAACAGTGGCAGTATAATTGGGATAGGGATATAACGGGTAGACATTACTATAGATTACAAGAGAAAGTAGGAAATTGGAGGAAAGGTAAAGGAAATAATAAAATAGAAGGAATAATAACACGGTTAAAAATGGGACACACAGGCTTAAATAAAACATTACATTTAATAGGAAAACATCCAACTGGATTGTGTGATGATTGTCAGGAGGAGGAATCAGTTGAACATGTTTTATGTTGCTGCAAGAAATTCATAATAGAAAGAGAAATATTAAAGAAAGAAATTATAAAACAAAACTTTTCAGAAATCAGCGTAAAAATTATACTTGGAAACGATAACAATGAAAGTTTAGTGAAATATCTAAGGAATACAGGATTAATTAACAGGATTTAAAAGAATAAAGATGTAGGTAAAAAATTTTTTTTTTTTTTTTCCCTCCGGGAGGTAGCAAACTCAGGCTCACACTCCAGTACAGTAGGTGGCGGTAATGCACCAAAAGTTGGATGCCGACTGCCATAAAACAGCAAAGAAGAAGAAGAAGAAGAATTTAGAAAAAGTCTGTAAAATAACAGTGTTTCTCTGTAAACATTTTAATAAAAATATCTGTAGATTTATTACTTTTTGAACTTTTTTTCAACAAAGAAATTTTACCTTAATTTTATGGTTTTTGTTTGGCGGCCGTAGCTGCCAGTCATTTAACTTTTTTTTTTTTTTTTTTTTTTTACAGAATAAGTAATTACAATTTATTACTTTAATTTTACGGAATTTTAAATGTACTTAAAAAACAGGAAAAAAACACTGTAAATAATACATAAATTTTTTTGTAAAAAACAGACAAATTGCTGTAATTTGTCATTACTTATAGTACATAAAATAACAGTCAAGCCGTTAACTTACAGATAATGTTTGTAATTTTTACCAACTTTTGAATATAATTTAAAATAACAGAAAAAATACTGTATAAATAATACTGTAATTTCCCTCTATAAAAAACACAAATGTCAGTAATTTGTCTTTAATAATAAAGTACCTAAAATAAAAGTCAAACGGTTAATTTAGAGAGATTGGTTGTCATTTTACTAAGTTTTGAATATAATGTGAAATGACAAAAAATTACTGTAAAAAATTTAAGGATATTTTCTGTAAAAAAATTTTTTTACAGTGTACACACACATTTTGCTCTCTTCTCTTCACTCTGTTCTTCTGACTTGTCTGTCACTCTACTGAATGTTGGTGAGGGAATGCAGGTATTGCGCAATCACTCATTTCTGCAAACGTATCGAGCGTTTTATTGTAACATGAGAGCGCAGTCATGTACATTAATCATAAAAACAGATATGCGAGCTCTTAAATAGGCTTTTTCAAATTAACTGCAAGTCCTCTCATCATCTCGTGTGTGTGCTCAGACTGTATACAATTGCGATCTCCTCAATATTAAAGTAGAAATTATTTATCTTTGCTCCTTGACTAAAAAAAGTATTTGGATTACAGACTTTTCATTAGGCTGTATCATCAAGTAAACCTTACTTTGAGCAAAGTTGGGACTTTTTATATTTCTTTACGACAAAAGAATTATGCTAGAAATGTTTCTGTTTGAGGTATTTGTGGGATTTATACACAGCAGCTGTATTCTGATCTGTCTTAAAGCATCACTGAATTGTACAGGCATTACAGGTCAAAGCAATCTGCTGTTACATTTAACATGATAAACAATAAGGCTCTTCAAACACTGCTTTAAGAAAAGCAGTGTTGTCATATTTCAAATACCTAGAGTTAAACAAAGTCATTTGCTTTATTATTTTATTACTGACAGTGTACTTGTCTTTTTTTGTAAAATTATTTCAGTTTAAGATCAAGTGTAAAATAATATTTCCATGTGCTGTACAGCTATTTAAGAAACAAATTTGCCATATTGTAAAGACGATGAGCAAATAAGAAAAATAGTGTAAAATATGTAAATAAAAGGCTAAATTTAAATCTTTTAATCCTATATTTTAATTAAACCTTTCAAATAGGGGTGTCAAAATTAATTGTTTCTTCGATGCACACGCGGACAGTTCGGTATCGGTTCTGTAATAATCATAACCGATTATTGTGTACTGACGTCATTTATCTCATATGCGTTCTGTCGCGAGGGAGGCGAGCGCGAGTATTTACAACACTCTAACTACTTAAAACTCAAACTGTGCACAATTTCACTGCGTGTGTGTTCGCTGGACAGCTGACATTTATAACAAAAGCCCCTATTTCACTGCGACTGAGAGAATGAAAGTACTCCATTTCTCTTTCTCTCTCTCTCTTACACACACACACTGACACACACACTGACACACACACACACACAAACTCACTCACTCACTCACTTGCACATCTCCAGTCAACATACAGTGGTGTTTTCTTTCTAAATTAATTGACTTTTCTTATTCCCAATACTTTTACTCAGTTGGTGACAGTTCTAGTTACTTGTTCAAAGAATTATTTCATTAAACCAAATGATTTAATATTTTCTTATTAATCATAAGTAAATGAATGAATAAATGGATAATAAATAATGGAATAATTGTATAATTTATTCATTTTGGTTTAGTTTTAAACGTGTATCAATTTCTTTATTTTGGTTAGTTTGTAACCAAACTGTTTTAGAGTATCCAAATACCAATTTAGAGACCTCTGGGGAAAAAAAATATTTGTAGTTAATTCTATGTTGAATAGAAAAAATCATTTATATCTCTTTTTCTAAAATGTATACTTGATGTTTTTGTATTTAACAATTATGAGTGAAACTTTTGTATTTTGAGCAGTTTCTCAGTAAAATTCAAGATGGATACACAGACAGACAGACAGACAGACAGACAGACTGACTGACTGACAGACAGACAGACAGACAGACAGACAGACAGACAGACTGACTGACTGACTGACTGACTGACTGACAGACAGACTGACTGACTGATAGTTTGATAGATAGACAGAGATAACAAAAGTACACACATCCTTTAAAGAAGTACAGCCTCAAAAATGTAATAAATTAAAAAGTACCCGTTTCAACCTCAGTCCCAAAGACACGCGGTATAGATGAATAATAATTCAACTGAACTGGCAGTGTATAAGTGTGTGTGTGAATGTGAGTGAGTATAGGTGTTTCCTAGTACTGGGTTGCAGATGAAATGGTATCCACTGTTTAAAACTAATTCTGGAATAATTATATTTTTATTCATAAATTGCCCAGCATACTTACATTTTGTTTTTGAAAAAAAATTGTTAATAGGAAAATTTAATAAAACTTATCAGAAATAAAGGAAATAAACCACAATGCATAATTTTTTTATAAAGTATTTGATTGTTTTAGTATTAAATGTACAAATCTTTACAAAAAAGCACTATATTTCGTGGTATTACAATGAAAGACAAGAGAAAGCCTGTTCAGAATGATCAGAAGTGGACAAAAGACTTAAGCATTAAACCGCATGCTTTTAAACTGGAACGTGTCTCTCTTGTCTACCTGTGATCTGAACGAGCAAAATGTGTTTTATTATCATGTAAACAGGGCAGCATCAGTCATGTTAGATTTAACGTCTCCCTCTGTCACATCTGCGTAGTCATCCTAGCCTTTCTCATTGTAATCTTCATTAACTAAACCATGTACAGTGCGCAATAGCCTTGAAAAGGCCACGCAGTGCAGCACACAGGTGCACAATGAGGAAATATGGACTGACTGCATCAAAACTGTTCATATTGCGCAATGACACGAAATAATATTGATCGCGCCACCAAACACATGAAAATAAAAGTAACGTGCGTGAATTAAAAAATGTAAGGAGCAGAAAGTACAGATATTTGTGTAAAAATGTAAGTAAAAAGTAGTCAAAGAAATAAGTAGTGGAGTAAAGTACTGATACTAGAAAAATCTACTTAAGTACAGTAACAAAGTATTTGTACTTCCCATCTCTGTAGATATATCAGCATAACAATCAATATTACATTCGCTTCAACAAAAAACACCTCAACAAAACATTCATACTACTTCAATTGCATAGAGCAGGGGTGGCCAACACTGTTCCTGGAGATCTACCTTCCTGCAGAGTTCAGTTGCAACCCATATCAAACACACCTGCCTGTAATTATCACGTGGTGTTCAGGTCCTAATTAATTTGTTCAGGTGTGTTTGATATGGGTAGCAACTGAAATCTGCAAGAAGGTAGATCTCCAGGAACAGGGTTGGCCACCCCTGGCATAGAGTGTGACAAAAGAAATGCTGTTAATTTGCAATGCATTGAATTAATTTATCAGTACATGCTGTAATGAATCAGATTAAATGTGTGTTATGGATATTAAAAGATATCCACAGGCCTGACTAAAAAGAAATTGCTCATAAATTTTGGTCATAAAATGTGCAGACACTGGTTAATAATCAATCGTATTAGCTCACGTGTGTTTGTGCACACTGTTACATGGATTACATTTTTTCGTATTTCCCTGTGCACACACTCCTGTGTTTGCACTGAAGTGAGTCTTTTATTATCTTTAAATTCTCTTTTTCCCCTCCTCAGTATAATCGAAGAGCTAAGGATGCGAGACCCGTCCTTCCCTGATGTTTCTCATGGAGTTCTCATCCACCGTGTGATTGTAGGATCTCCAGCCAACAGATGTGCTGCTCTCTGAACATGATGTTATCAGCTGTTGATTAAGGCATCCTATTGATGATGTCATTTCCTGTTTTCTGTTTTGCAGAGCCGGAATGAAGCCAGGAGATGTTATTATTGAGATCAATGGGGTAAAGGTGAACACGTCGGAGGAGATATATAATGCTGTGAGGACCAGCGAAAGCTTAAATGTGGTGGTCCGCCAGGGGGCCGACCTGCTCATGCTGCACATGACCCCAGAGTCCACAGAGCGACATCAAGTCAAGTTTTTAGTAAGATTAAGAAATGGTGAGTAATGAGAAGCTGTCATAGTTGGAGCTGTTGTAAGAAAGGAATCATCTAAAGAGTTGAACAGTTTTAGCAAACGCTGGACATTCGTGTAGTAAACGTGTTTCTGAAAGCGTATGAAATAATGTGGATGATTCAGACTTCTGTACACTGGATAAACCTCAGTGTGTCTGCGCAAACTACACTATCAGTATTGATTTGAAGGAATATCACTGAATATTTTGTTTAGGATTGTCATGATGGCAACAAACACTCAAAGACCTTAATAAAACTGGGTGCTCTTATTGTGAAAATGCTGATGTTTTGTATTGAGTCTCACATTCTCATGTTACGACGTTTGTATTTTAATACATTTTTCTGAACAGCTCTGATTTCACAATAAACCATTGGAATATTTATGGATGATTTGCTTATGTCGCAGTGACTGATATGTTTAGGTTTTGGGTCAGCGCTGTACAGCATTCTGAAAAAGTGTATTTCTAAAAGTGCACCGTAATGACGCCAGTGTCAACTGCAGTGTGTGTTGGAAAGGACTGGATGCTGTTCAAACCTCATGCCAAATTTTTGTCACCCCATACAAAACCAGTTTAAATCCACACAATCTGACAACACTGGGGCTAGATCACAATATAAGCCACAACACAAGTGAGTTCAATAAAATATATCTTTATTACAGACATGTAGAAAAATCAAATATACAAAACATTCTGCTAATGTGACTCAGAACTCCAGCATGGACCAGTCGTGGTAAGGCATCTCTTCTAGAGGAATTCTGCACTCTGGATTCTCATGCAGACAAGCCCTCATCATATCACAGCATTCTGTGAAGAAGAAATGGAGAGGTGAGGTTATTGTTATTATTATTATTATTAAGCTGTTTCACTTAATTGTTCTTTGATGAACATCTCACCTTGAGAGAGGGTAAATTTGGACCAGTCATGTTGGAGGTAGTACAGGTCATACGCTGATGGGAATTCTCCATGGAGCATTGTGAACAGAAGAACCCCAAGAGAATAGACCGTCGCTGGTTTGGCCCGGTAGCATCCTTTTTCATAAAACTCTGGCGGGATGTACGCTTCTGTGCCTGGAGGAGAGACGTTTAGTTTAGCATCATGTTGAATATATATACCAGATGGGCTTCAGCTGTGCTAATTAACCAGCTTTCAATACGTATATTAATAATGCTTATGCATATTCATAACTAGTGTTGTCAAAAGTATCAACTACCAATCGATACCGACACTCATCACAGTCATATTTGCTGAGCATGTGAACACCAATGGCCAATCAGTGGTGTTTAACAGCGCTCAAATTGACTTGTTAAATGTCAGAATCGATTGGTACCGAAGTCGATACTTTTGACCACACTATTCAAAACACCTACCAGAGAAGAGACTGTAGGCTGATTCCATCATGAAGTCTCCACACCCGAAGTCGATCAGCTTGACTTCCAGTGTGTCGGGGTTCACCAGCAGGTTTTGAAGCTTAATATCCCGGTGGAACACCCCGCGGTAACAGCACACGTTGGCCGCATAAACAGCTTGCCTCATGATGGTATGTGCTGTTTTCTCACTGAGGACTCCTCCGCTGACTTCAAGGAATGCCTCCAGGTCCATGCTTGGACTAGGCCGCTCCATCACCATGACATAATGGTTTTCAAAGACCTGCCAGTCCAGAAGCTTAATAATGTTCGCACACCTGGAGCCACCGCTGGCCATGTTTGCCAAGGTGATCTCTAGAGGAAGTGGCTGGTCACATGACTGAAAACAAAATAATAATGTTGGTTTTCAAACAAGGGTTTCTGACCACAGCCTGTGGTCTATAATAAATATAAGACTTTATAAACTGAACACAGCGAACAGAAAGTGTAGTCTACTCACAGAGCTGACATCTTGCATATTTGGGGTCTTCTGGACAAATTTAACTGCCACCTGTTTAAAGGAACAAGCGAACAATTAACATGTGCACGGAGATCATTTCATTCAGTCATAAATCCTGAACAGAGGATTCATTCGTCAGCAAAAATGTCCAAACAATGAAAGCTCTGATGATGTTCTTTAAACAGGGAACTTCATCAGAGGATTTGAGTCTACAAAAATGAATACCTGCAGACCATCCTGTATGCGAATCCCCTCATACACGGAGCCGAAACCTCCTTCACCAAGCTGCTTTCCGAGTTTGTAGCGGCAGCTGATGTCATCTGTTAAAAATGAAGAAAATGTCATTAAATTATAAACCAAATAAAAACACAAACAGTTGAAGTCAGAATTATTGTCAGATTTCAGAACATGATAGTTTTAATAACTCATTTCTAATAACTGATGTCTTTTATCTTTGTCGTGATGACAGTACATCATATTTACTGGATATTTTCAAGATACCAGTGTTCAGCTTAAAGTTCTGAATACTTAAACTTTATTGCTCTGCATCATTTGGGAAATATTTAAAAAATATTAATAAAAAATCACAGGAGGGCAAATAATTTTGACTTCAACTGTATAATTTTACAAAGTTTGATGAGCCTAAACAAATGTTCTGAACTCCAGCAATAAACTTACTATTGTCCAAGCAGGTCCCATCATCTGCTGTAGACTCCACAGCAGAGTCCTCTTGTGAGACCTGATCCGGTGAAGGGTTCGAGTTTTCATCCAGGGCAGAGTCACAGATGTCATCTGTTATGAGCTGCTGGCTCACTGGAAGTTCATTGTCCTCATCGGATGGTGAACTTGGAGGACTATCAAGCTCTTGCTCCAGGCTGTCCTCACTGAGGGAGGATTCGTTGTCTGCTGGGAAGTGAAGCTCTGCAGAGTCGTTCTCAATGACCACTGCAGAGTCAAAGCTGTTCACTTCCGGTTTAGAGTCCAAATCTTCGTCTGCTGGAGCATCAAGAGCTGGAGGTTGGCGAACTTCCAGCTCCAGGTTGCTCACAGCAGTGCAGAAGAATTTAGAGCTACTGATGGGCTCTGCGTGAAGTTCGTGGATCTCCTGCACACATAGCTGATCTAAAGAGAGGAAGGAACATCATTAATATGACTCTACAACTCTTTTTGACAAGATATTTGAACAGTTCATTTGCAGAAACATTACTCAATGTGTTTTTATTGATGATCTTCATGGGTTTTCTGCATTAAATTAGCAAACAAGTAAACTATATATCTTAAGGCAAAGCTCACTGAAATAAAAAATCCTAATACAAATAATTCTTATTTTTTCTGTTTTTTACACAAAACTACAAATTCTGAAGAAAATTCCTGAAATCAGCAGCCATTAACCTTCATTGTAGGAACACAAAATACTGTGGAAGTCAATGGCTGAAAGCACCTCAAACAGGTTTAAGGAGTAAATTATGACAGAATTGTCTTGTTTATGTGAACTGTGGCTTTAAGAAACTCTTTCTAAAATGTCTTCCAGTTAATGTTCATTTCTGATCTTTAAACACTTATGTGATGTGTTTGGTGTGTTTAACAGTATGCTTTAGTAATTAAAAGTGCTCATAAATCTATTTTACCAACAACAGTAGCTCTTCTTCTGGAAAAACAGGTGAAGAAGATGGGAGACAATTTGAGTTTCCTCTTTTTCTGTCTCCCTGCCTGTTTTCCTGCAGCGACGGCCGGGTCATCGGTCATCAGATGACGGTGATTCTCTGTCGTGCTGCCGGTGGGTTCGAGTGGCTCACACGGTTGTTCGTTCGCACACTTAACACCAAACGCTTTCTTCAGACGGTTAATCAGTTTTGAAAATGCCATTTTATCACTGTACTGTTGAATCGCAGAAAGTACTGAACTACTAGACATCCAAAGAAGCTAATGAGAGTTTCTGCTACGTCAAAAGCTTTTTACTGTCACCGATGATGTCAGAGTTCCACAGTTCCATTTGGTATGACGTAGAGACTTTTTAAAACACAACAAACTTCTAATGCAGGCCCGCGCTAGACTGACTGGCTCATTCGCCTTAATGTGCTCACACAGCCACCTGCTTATACACATTTTTTCCAATTATTCATTAATTTATTTTTGCACTTAGACCTATGTATTTTTTTTTTCTGTCATGCACAACTTTTTCTGCGTTTTGCTCTTTATTACAAATATTGCCATGTTTATATATATTTATACGCGCGCGTGTGTGTGTGTGTGTGTGTGTGTGTGTGTGTGTGTGTGTGTGTGTGTGTGTGTGTGTGTGTGTGTGAGGTTCATTTATTTTGAGTAGCTCATTTCAGTTATTTTATATTTTCATTATCAATTGTTTATCGTTTTTAACAGTATTATTATTATCGTTTATATTATATTTTATATATTATGATTATATAAATTCGTTATTCTTGTGAATTCTTTTTAAATGAATAATGCTTCAAATAATAAATTAAAAAGAAAAATATGCAACAAAATAGAGTTATCCATATTACCTGAAACCGCCAGTAGGTGGTGGTAGGACACTGTCTTAAGTGAATAAGACATTTATTCAGCAACAAAGCAACTGTTGTATTTATGAAAAGGTCAAGGATGAATCGACTCTCACAATTTATTTAAATCCACAGATTCATTCACAAAAAATAACCCGCTCTAGCCTAAATAAGGACTGAACAGATGTGAACGCTAACAGGTAGGAATAATGATCAAATTCTTGTGGATTAAATGTCTTTGTTGACATCAATTGCAGTAGATTTTATTAAGTTACAACAAAAGGTAGGAAATGGTTTTAATTGCGAACTGTACTTATTTATTGTGTGAACATGCTACATGCTAACACCGTCACAGCATTCCAGTCAACTAATTTAGAGCTACTAACGTTAGTCAACAGTCCCCGCCTTCACTAAGTGAAAAATGCGAAATAAAACGAAAAAATAACATAAATAAAATAAACAATTACAAATTAAACCAATGAATATGTAAGTCAGTGTAATTAGATCTAACGTCTATTACTGTATGTCACACAGGCTAGTTAGCTAGCGCTAATTAGCATTTGATGCTAATGCTAACATTGATGCAACTTAATGTAACTGTAATGTAATTAATGTTATATTAACGCTACTGTAACGTTAAACTAATTATTGTTTTACTTAAAAGCTCAATCAAACCTTTAATGTTAACATCAGTCAGATTGATTGCTAATTGAGTGATTCTGTTAATATTACATTTGTTTACCTTAATATTACACTAGATAACCTTAGGAACTATACAGGGAGAGGAATTATTTAGTTTTATATTACAGAAACTCGATATTTCTTTTCTATATTTTTGTTAGGCCACAGTTTGAAATGCCATTCTGCAGGCTGAAATGGCATATTTAACACAATTAACCATGGCTTTACTACAATAATACAGTCAGGTTTATTTTGTGTGGATAATTGTAAGCTTACTTTAGTAAAACTATGTTTTTGTCTTATTGGCTAAATGGGCTCATGAA